CGGAGAGTGTTTTGCCTATGTTCTCCTCTAGGAGTTTTATAGTTTCTGGTCTTACATTTAGATCTTTAATCCATCTTGAGTTTATTTTTGTGTATGGTGTTAGAAAGTGTTCTAGTTTCATTCTTTTACAGGTGGTTGACCAGTTTTCCCAGCACCACTTGTTAAAGAGGTTGTCTTTTTTCCATTGTATATCCTTGCCTCCTTTGTCAAAGATAAGGTGACCATAGGTTCGTGGATTTATCTCTGGGCTTTCTATTCTGTTCCATTGATCTATATTTCTGTCTTTGTGCCAGTACCATACTATCTTGATGACTGTGGCTTTGTAGTATAGTCTGAAGTCAGGCAGATTGATTCCTCCAGTTCCATTCTTCTTTCTCAGGATTACTTTGGCTATTCGAGGTTTTTTGTATTTCCATACAAATTGTGAAATTATTCGTTCTAGTTCTGTGAAAAATATCGTTGGTAGTTTGATAGGGATTGCATTGAATCTGTAGATTGCTTTGGGTAGTATAGCCATTTTGACAATATTGATTCTTCCAATCCATGAACACGGTATATTTCTCCATCTGTTTGTGTCCTCTTTGATTTCTTTCATCAGTGTTTTATAGTTTTCTATGTATAGGTCTTTTGTTTCTTTAGGTAGATATACTCCTAAGTATTTTATTCTTTTTGTTGCAATGGTGAATGGTATTGTTTCCTTAATTTCTCTTTCTGTTTTCTCATTGTTAGTGTATAGGAATGCAAGAGATTTCTGTGTGTTAATTTTATATCCTGCAACTTTACTGTATTCGTTGATTATCTCTAGTAATTTTCTGGTAGAGTCTTTAGGATTTTCTATGTAGAGGATCATGTCATCTGCAAACAGCGAGAGTTTCACTTCTTCTTTTCCTATCTGGATTCCTTTTACTTCTTTTTCTGCTCTGATTGCTGTGGCCAAAACTTCCAAAACTATGTTGAATAGTAGTGGTGAGAGTGGGCACCCTTGTCTTGTTCCTGATTTCAGGGGAAATGAAAATTAACTATAAAATATGTTAAATCTAATGTCTTATAGGAATGTTTATGTTATAACTTGGGGTTAGGGAAAAGAAATCTGCCTTCGGGTTAAAAAGTGTAAAGATACAAAATGTTTCACACAGGAAGGCAAAAGAAAGAAATGCGAAAAAGCCTTATGTTTACAAGAGGAAAGCTGGAAATAAAATAGTTAACATTTTAACTGTGAGAGGAGGAAGTAGGGCAATTTGCATATACTTCAAACAATCTCACCCTGTTGAGAAACCCTGCAAATCCTACAAAGAATTAGAGGGAAAAGCCAAAGTCAATACACTTCAAATACCCTTGATGTTTCACAGACACTAACAAGAAAGCATCTTCTGGGTAAGTTCACACATTGCACAAAATAAATATTAATTCTGTTGTTGGTAATTTTCCAAAAAGTTAATATTTTACAGTTCAGAATTTTATTCCTTAAGTTTGCCTTTGAAGCTGGAAAATTGCTTTTTGAAGTTATGTTTTCATAATCCTAGGAATTCAGTCTAAGAATGAAAGATGCCATTAAAGACCTATTTAAAAAGATATTCATCAAAACCTTATTTTTATAGTCACTGTTCATCACTTAAATCTTATGCGTAGCATAGTGTCTAATATAAAGTAAATACTCAATAATTATTCTTAAAAGAAGAAGTAAATTACAAATAAATTGTGGTTTATACATATTATATATATGAACACTAAAAATGTTTTTGAAGATTTATTAAGATTGGGGAAATAGACATTAGAGAGAATGTTAAGAGGATGCTAACAATGTGTACATTATCTAATACAAGTTTTATAAAGTAAATATATACATGCACACAAAAGGCTAGAAGGAAAGGTAAAATTATTGACTAAGTTGGTTTTTCCTTGTGTTTCTCTTTATGTTGCAATTTTTCATGAGCATGTATTACTTTTATAATCAGAAAAACACTAAATGTTAAACATTTTTCATTATGCTCTGCTAACAGACATGTGATACAAAAATTAAGCATTAATAACTGTGGAGTTGAATAAAAGATAGTTGTTGGGCGACTCAATATTTCTATAAGTGTATTTGGCTTTTCCCCTTCACTTTGTTAGAATCAACTGTCACTAGATACATATTTTTATAATTTATTCAGTGGCCTGAATGCACCGTCAGAGCTAAACTGTGCTCTACTTTTAACACCAAAAATGAATTCTATATGAAAGTTAGAGAGATAGGTGAGTTAGTTCAATTCTTTCTGTCTTTTTGTAACTCAAGTGTGCACACGCACTGAGTCGTGTTCAACTCTTTGCAACCGCATGGGATGGGCTTCTCTGTCCATTGAATTCTCCAGGCAAGACTACTGCAGTGGGTTGCCATTTCCTCCTCCAGGGACCCAAGGATCCAACCACATCTCCTGTGTCTCCTGCATTGCAGGCAGATTTTTTTTTTTTTTTTTAATCACTTGAGCCATCAGAGAAGCCCCTTTTGTAGCTTACCTTCCTTTTATTTCCTTGAGGAGGAAATGGCAACCCACTCCAGTATTCTTGCCTGGAAAATCTCATGGACAGAGGTGCCTGGTGGGCTACAGTCTGTGGGGTCACAAAGAGTTGGACATGACTGAACAACTCTCACTTTCATACCACTTATGTCCATACTTGGTCATAAGTGGATACCTACATAATGGCTACTTTGAAGCTCCAGAGTGTTCAAAGGTCTAGGACCCCAGAACTGGCCAAATTCACTTAGTGTTTGAGGAACAGTTACATAGAAGTCCACAACCTGTGGAAATTGTACACCAGTGGTGACATCTAATCATAGGATATTGTGATTAGGGCCTCTCTCTTTCTCTCCACAATTTCTTTTTTTTTTTTTCTTCTTCCAGTTTTATTGAGATATAATTGAATACAGCACTGTATAAGTTTAAGGTGTACAACATAATGATTTGACTTACATACATGATGAAATGATTACCATAATATGTTTAGTGAACATCCATCACATCATGTAGATACAAAATTTCAAGAAAAGAAAAATATTCTAGGTGAATTATTCCTAAAGTTATTCACACAAAGATGAAGTATAATTTTTCTTTTCATCAGGGAGAAAGAGAATAACCAACATGGGTTCAAACAGGCCCTGGACCAGGCACTTTACCTAATCTTGAATTTTTATAGCTATTCTGGATGCAGGGACTTTTATTCATATACATAGTATAGTAGGAGTAATAATAATAGCTAAGTGTTATTGATCAATTGTCATGTGCCATGCTCTGTGTCAGGGGCCTATTTTCTCTCAGGTCCTGTTCTGAGCAAGTACTTTGATCATCCCCACTTTGTACTTGAAGACCCTGAGGCTCAAAGTAGAAGTCCTGTCTGTTTACTCCAGTTTACTGTTTACTCATGTGGAGAAAATATTTTTATTCTCCAAGATCATTAAACCATTTTTGCCCCTTCTTTCAGGAACAATAAATGCTGAAAACACTGTTTTCAACAAATGGACTCTTCTGTTGCAGGAAACAGGGGTAGGAAGGGTAAGTTTAATCCATTAGATTTGGGGGTTTCTTCCATTTCCTTGGAGCAGGACGATGGGAATAGCCAGTTAGACATTACCCGTGTATCAGTAGTAAGAAAAATTCATCAAAACTAATGTTTTAAAAAGTATTGATCAAGAAGTATAATGAATTTTCCTTTGCCTTTACTGAACAAAAAGTCTTCAATCAAACTTAAGGCAAAAAAAAAAAAAAAAGTAAGGCATAAGGGTGTTCCTAAAATACAGGAGATAGTGGTTTGCTATGTCCTTTTAAAGTAGGAGTATATCTGTCAATAACTTAATTGAGCTCTTTCAAAAACTTCCATTCTGAAACTTCCATTTCTGGTCTTTTTCCTTTACCTCTTTCCTACCATCCTGGGCTCCAAGGAGGTTTAGAATGAATATGAACAAATGATTAAGAGAATTTTAAAATAACAGAATCTCTGTATACACTCAGTTCCTGAAATGGTCCACCTGGCTCCATTTTATATAAATATAATTATAAAATTTACCATTTTTAAGCCTGTCTACATGTCAGAACTTTATATACTTTGTCATTTGAAGCTGACAAACATCTACCAAGGCACATATTCCTGGAGAGCACCTAAGAGGTTAAACAGCGATTATACCTCATATCAAGTGGCTACTTAGCTAAATTAGAATCCAGATTTGATTCCAACAAACAGGCTTCCTTCAAAACACGTGACTTGGCAACAAATAGATCCTGGTGATTCCCTGCATCCCAAATGGAGAAAAACAACCAATTCCTTCCTAGAAGCCAAGCTTGAGGGACAATTAGAATTTTCTAATAGCAATTGCCACCCCCTTCTGTGACCAAAGCATTATTTAAGCAGTAAAACCTTTCCAGTGGCAATGTCAATTTCACATCCCAGGACTTGGCCCCCCTAGAGGGAGAGGAGGGTCCCTGGTTTTAATTACTTGAATCTCATCTTGGGAAACGCGATCCAGAGACCGCCCCCCGCCAAGCCAGGAAACCCATAATCTTCTCGGGGTGATCTTAGGTTGGGGGACGAAATCCTGCAGGGGACATTTGTTCATCCACATCCAGGGACAACCCTCTCTCCCAACTCATCTCTCCCCCCACAGGTTTAAAACACAAAGGAGGCCACCTAGCCTTTTCCCCTCTCCTCGCCAAAAACATGATCAAGTGTGGACAAGGAAATGCCAATCCCCCTCCAACCTGCCCTTCTCACGGTAACTGGTGCACGTGCGGACTCTCAAACGAATGTGTCCGACCGGTGGTGGTTTAGTCGCTAAATCGTGTCCGACTCTTGCGACCCCATGGACTGTAGCCTGCCAGGCTCCTCTGTCAGTGGGATTCTCCAGGCAAGAATACTGGAGTGAGTTGCCATTTCCTTCTCCGGGGTCTCTTCCAGACCCATTAATTGAACCCGGGTCTCCTGCATTGCAGACACTTTACCGACTGAGCTATGAGGGAAGCGTCGGACAGTGTATGCACTCAATTCTCTGAGCGGTAGGAGTCCGACTCCGGGGCTCCCTGGCACCTGGGCTGCCCAAGTTCCTAGACTCCGGCATCATGCTCCGCCCCCTAAACGCCCCCTCAGCCCTGCCCCGCCCCCTCAGCCCTGCCCAAGGTTCGCCCCGCCCTTCCCCCTGGCCCCTTCTCAGCGTCTTCAGCCGCGCACGCGCCAGCGCGCCATCTCGTCTCCATGGCGACGCGACGTCTACTGTTCCACGCTCCCAACACCGAGCAGACCTGGAGCTGGGCTAGCTTTCTATGTCAACCTTTCCGATGCTCAGCGTGAGAGGGCCACAGAAGGGTAAGAGGCGCCGCACCAAGCACGGTCGCCGTCTCCCCATCCCCTCGAACAACCTGACCTAGGTTTTCTTACCTCGGACTCCCTCAGGCCCGGCGCCTGAACCCGCCAGCTTCTCTGACCGCTCCAGGTTCGGGCTCTGGCGTCCCACCACAGCCCAGGCAGCGCGCGAGAAGGTAGGGGCCGCGCGACCAGAGGTGCACCTCGTACTTTGGCTTCTTCCTCTGACTGTAGTTCGGCGCTGAGGAAGGGATATTTGTGTCCCTGTGGGTGTGATAACTAAGCGGTTCTGACAGGCGCATCTACACCACTATTCTCTGACCTGCCGATTCGCACATGCCAACTCCCTCCCCTGCTCACCCTCCAAAAAAACAATGAAAATAGCCACGTCTCATCCCAAGGCTTCTGGCTGCTTCCCTCGATCCTCAGGCACCCGTCTCTCTTTTTTTTCCTCTAACTTTTGTGAGGCGAGGCGGAGGTGGGGGGAGGATAGCTTAACGGCCAATAAATAGGAGCAGGGACTCACCTGGCTTGAGGTTAATACTTCATTACTCGCTAGACCACTTGCTTGGCCGTGAATAAATTTCTTTGGAATTTGAGCAAATCATTTAGCCTCCCCGGACCTTATTTTCATCTTCTGTAAAAGAATACGTTTGGGACAACGGATCACTTTTAAGATCCAGTCTTCTGCCTTCTGTGAGATAATCAAATTGACTTGAAACTTCCAAAATCGAGATCCTGTTCAGATTACACTGTGCCCAGGTAGCGTTTTAAATTAACACCTGGTGTAATTATAAGTTGTCTGACTTCCCAGAGGGCCTAAGTGAAATGGACAGATCTGTTTTTACCCCCAAGAGAGTCCTGAAAGTTGCTTTTTAAAAATAAAGGACACTGAAAGTGTCTTTTGATTTGTTTCGTTCTCCTAAAACTAAATACAAATGATCCCGGAATCCTCCGTGTTAATTTTTTTTTTCTTTTTGTAATTGAAGTTTTGTCTTAACTCTCAGGAAAACAACAGCACTGCTCTTTAAGTGTTGAGTTTACCAGAGCTGAATTCCAAAACCTTTGTAGGGATTCAGCTGCATCATTCCAGAATTCCAGAACTTCCACCACCCGCCACACACACACACTGAGCACCACCATTAGGGCTCAACCTGCAACGTTTTATCCCCCTTCATTACCCCATCCAGGCTCAGTTGTGCACCTAAAACTCTAAGTCAGAGTTCAGCTTCAGCGCTGTCTCTGCTAGGCTGTAGGTAGTAATAACAATAGGAGGAGGAAGAGTTGGAGTAGTTAGAATTATAGGAGCAGATAGGTGCTGCTGTTATTTACTGCGAGCTATTTATATTAATCCTTGAAGTACTCTGTAAAGCAGGTGGTACTGAAACTGCTGGGTGGCATTTTGGAGGCTTCAAGGAACTCCAGTTCTTTATGTCTCAGCACAGAAAGAATTCAGCAAGAGACAAAGTAATAGATAAGAAGTGGCTTATTAGAATAGGATGCTTCTGAGGGTGACAAGTTGAGCCACACCCAGAGCTAAGTAGTCTACAGTTTTATAGTCAAAGGAAAAGTGAGGAGGGAGAGAAGACCACCTTCTTCCTCATTCCTGAGTAGACATCAGGCTTCCAGCATCAGTTCCTCCTCCACATCTGGCAGGGGAGTTTTCTTGTCCCCATGTGGTCAAATTGGGATTGTCATGGTGCAGTTGCTGCTGCTGCTAAGTTGCTTCAGTCGTGTCTGGCTCTGTACGACCCCTTAGACAGCAGCCCACCAGGCTCCCCCATCCCTGGGGTTCTCCAGGCAAGAACACTGGAGTGGGTTGCCATTTCCTTCTCCAATGAAGGAAAGTGAAAAGTGAAAGTGAAGTTGCTCAGTCATGTCTGACTCTGCGACCCCATGGACTGCAGCCTACCAGGCTCCTCCGTCCATGGGATTCTCCAGGCAAGAGTACTGGAGTGGGTTGCCATTGCCTTCTCCACATGGTGCAGTGAAAATGAGCAAAAAGTGGTCTGCTATACTGTCCTAAGTCGCTTCAGTTGTGTCTGACTCTGTGTGACCCTATGGATTGTAGCCCACCAGGCTCCTCTGTCCTTAAGATTCTCCAGGAGAGAATACTGGAGTAGGTTGCTGTACCCTCCTCCAGAGGATCTTCCTGACCCAGGGATTGAACCCATGTCACTTACCTCACCTGCATTGGTAGGCGGGTTCTTTACCTGTAGCACCCCTATGCTAACATATGGCATATCTCATAATCATCATTTTATTATGTTGATTTCCTTATATTTTTGTTTTCTTTTATATTTTTTCCTTATATTTTTGTTTTCTGTAACATGCAGAAGAATATGTCCTAGGACTCATTCATGTGCTGAGCTCACTGGGCAGAATGTGTGTCTCATTCCACCATTGTTTTATTGTTTTGGGACATGTCTCATGCTTCTGTTCCATGAGTAAGCCAACCTACTTTCTTGAGTGATCATTAACTTATAGGAGTCTCCCATACTTCTTTATTTACAATCCCCCAGTTGAATTAACTACTTAATCACTCTGTCCCTTTCAGTATTTTTGTCATTTTACACTTGAGGAGAGTGAATCATAGAGGCATTAAGGAACTTGCTCGAGATCACACCATTTGCTGGGATTTGAACATAGGCAATCTGACTTCAGAGTCTGAACTCCTTGCACTATATAAAATTTATAGGTAGTCACTTTTAAATATGAATGTAAGTGAAAGATGATCACTGAAATCATTTTATACACACTTGAGACTTTGCCATGAAATATTACCCTCCCCTGTTCGGTTTCCCCATTAAGCTCCTCTAGGATGGAAGTGAAAGTCACTGAGTCGTGTCCAACTCTTTGCAACCCCATGGACTGTATCAGTTCAGTTCAGTCACTCAGTCGTGTCCAACTCTTCACAACCCCATGAATAGCAGCACGCCAGGCCTCCTTGTCCATCACCAACTCCCGGAGTTTACTCAAACTCATGTCCATTGAGTCGGTGATGCCATCCAGTCATCTCATCCTCTGTCGTCCCCTTCTCCTCCTGCCCCCAATCCCTCCCAGAATCAGGGTCTTTTCCAATGAGTCAATTCTTCGCATGAGGTGGCCAAAGTATTGGAGTTTCAGCTTCAGCATCAGTCCTTCCAATGAACACCCAGGACTGATCTCCTTTAGGATGGACTGGTTGGATCTCCTTGCAGCCCAAGGGACTCTAAATAGTCTTCCCCAACACCACAGTTCAAAAGCATCAATTTTTCAGCACTCAGCTTTCTTCACAGTCCAACTCTCACATCTATACATGACCACTGGAAAAACCATAGCCTTGACTAGACAGACCTTTGTTGGCAAAGTAATGTCTCTGCTTTTTAATACTCTATCTAGGTTGGTCATAACTTTCCTTCCAAGGAGTAAGCGTCTTTTAATTTCATTGTTGCAATCACCATCTGCAGTGATTTTGGAGCCCAGAAAAATAAAGTCAGCCACTGTTTCACATCTATTTGCCATGAAGTGATGCAACCGGATGCCATGATCTTTGTTTTCTGAACATTGAGTTTTAAGCCAACTTTTTCACTCTCCTCTTTCACTTTCATCAAGAGGCTTTTTAGTTCCCCTTCACTTTCTGCCATAAGGGTGGTGTCATCTGCATATCTGAGGTTATTGATATTTCTCCCGGCAATCTTGATTCTAGCTTGTGCTTCTTCCAGCCCAGCGTTTCTCATGATGTACTCTGCATATAAGTTAAATAAGTAGAGTGACAATATACAGCCTTGATGTACTCCTTTTCCTATTTGGAACCAGTCTGTTGTTCTGTGTCCAGTTCTAACTATTGCTTCCTGACCTGCACATAGGTTTCTCAAGAGGCAGGTCAGGTGGTCTGGTATTCCCATCTCTTTTAAGAATTTTCCACAGTTTATTGTGGTCTACACAGTCAAAGGCTTTGGCATAGTCAATAAAGCAGAAGTAAATGTTTTTCTGGAACTCTCTCTTGCTTTTTTGATGATCCAGCGGATGTTGGCAATTTGATCTCTGGTTCCTCTGCCATTTCTAAAACCAGCTTGAACATCTGGAAGTTCACGGTTCACGTATTGCTGAAGCCTGGCTTGGAGAATTTTGAGCATTACTTTACTAGCGTGTGAGATGAGTGCAATTGTGCGATAGTTTGAGCATTCTTTGGCATTGCCTTTCTTTGGGATTGGAATGAAAACTGACCTTTTCCAGTCCTGTGGCCACGCCTGAATTTTCCAAATTTGCTGGCATATTGAGTGCAGCACTTTCACAGCATCATATTTCAGGATTTGAAATAGCTCAACTCGAATTCCATCACCTCAACTAGCTTTGTTCATAGTGATACTTCCTAAGGCCCACTTGACTTCACATTCCAGGATGTCTGGCTCTAGCTGAGTGATCACACCATCGTGATTATCTGGGTCGTGAAGATCTTTTTTGTATAGTTCTTCTGTGTATTCTTGCCACCTCTTCTTAATATCTTCTGCTTCTGTTAGGTCCATATCATTTCTGTCCTTTATTGTGCCCATCTTTGCATGAAATGTTCCATTAGTATCTCTAATTTTCTTGAAGAGATCTCTAGTCTTTCCCATTCTGTTGTTTTCCTCTATTTCTTTGCACTGATCGCTGAGGAAGGCTTTCTTATCTCTCCTTGCTATTCTTTGGAACTCTGCATTCAAATGGGAATATCTTTCCTTTTCTCCTTTGCTTTTCACTTCTCTTCTTTTCACAGCTATTTGTAAAGCCTCCTCAGACAACCATTTTGCCTTTTTGCATTTCTTTTCCATGGGGATGGTCTTGATCCCTATCTCCTGTACAATGTCAAAACTCCATCCATAGTTCATCAGTCACTCTGTCAGATCTAGTCCCTTAAATCTATTTCTCACTTCCACTGTATAGTCATAAGGAATTTGATTTAGGTCATTCACTCCTGAATGGTCTAGTGGTTTTCCCTACTTTCTTCAATTTAAGTCTGAATTTGGCAATAAGGAGTTCAT